GGATTCCTTCGTTCCAGAGTATACAGAGTATACACGAGCAATTGTTGAGGCACAAAACAGGCCTCCGCTGGGCGCCTATTCAGTCGGCCCTAAACCCATGGCCAAGCCGATTTTAGTCACAGCCCCTTGTGCTCCTGAAATCAGGCCGACGAAACCAGCCGCGCCTCCAGACAGCTGCTTTTATCCGACCACCACAAGCTTCCCGCCCATCAAAAGCAGTGAATGCCACACCTGCAAGGCCTGGTGGCATTTCAAATGCACGGGGTTACAGGGCGACCAGACAAGCCGATTAGCCAAATCTCCTACCCGTTTGTCCGCGCAAGCTTCTTCTACGTTAAGGGTGCAGTGCATAACGCAGCCAAGAGGAGAGCCCCCAAAAATAGTACCCAGTCCCCACTGTAGAATCAGAAAAACCCATGTGAGTGCTCCGCTTTGATCAGGATACCCGACGCAAAGTTGCGGCTTATTTCTAAGGCACTGGAGGATTCATACCTATGGTGACTTAGACGAAAGTTAATGAGGAACTTTCTTCGTTAAACGAGTACCCCGCGCTATCCATACCAGGACCTCTGGTCGCAAAGAAAGTCATACAACTCTCTGACGCGGCTCTAAAGACCGCCACAGCGTGCATAGTAGACAGGCGCATAAAAGGGAACATATTGATAATCTGAGGTTCATTCTCCGGAAAAACCACGCCAACGATCTCCAAAACACGCAAGAATCCAGGAAGGCGAAAGTTTGCCGAAAATCTTTGATCAACAGTAAATCTGGTCGCTAAAAAAGCGGTGCTGAAAGAGCCACAAGCAGCAACGGAAAAACTTCCGCCCACGGGGAACAAACTCCGTCCTCCAAAGCCCCAGTAATAAATCAGCTATCTGAGCATATCCCTCTAGACGCGCGAAAGCTTGGTCGCAGCAGATCAGGGGTAGAGGCCCGAAACAGGCCTCCGCTGGGCGCCTATTCAGTCGGCCCTAAACCCATGGCCAAGCCGATTTTAGTCACCGCCCCTTGTGCTCCTGAAATCAGGCCGACGAAACCAGCCGCGCCTCCAGACAGCAGCTTTTATCCGACCACCACAAGCTTCCCGCCCATCAAAAGCAGTGATGTACTGGAGCAGGCAAACCTCACATGCAAGCAGCGCCCAAAGTAAGTGGAGCTATCAACGCTTATCTCCGTAATAGACGACACAGCTGCATCCACGCACCACTCACCAAAGCCACAACATCTGAACCAAAATGAGTCAGATGTGCGGGGGCAAGCAGCGGAGCCAATCTCCAGCTCCGCTGCGTCAAAAGCGGCCTCTACCAGCTCCACTGCGTCAAAAGCGGCCTCTCCGCTTGTGGGCAAAACCGTCGCCCAGGACCCCGACAACCAAATCTATAAACCTGACCACAGGCAACCGGAAAATCCCTCGTGCATCCAGTTGGTCACGCTGATCGCCGGCGGATCGGGTGTCCATACAAACACGAAAGAAAAGCGACCGGATCCAAACAAGC